CATTGGCTATAAAGGAAATTCATCCGTATTCAACAGATAAAAAAATTAAAAAGATGAAATTTCAGCTTTGCGGGGCTGGTATCCCTAGGCTTTGTAGCTAGTGAAAAGACAATGGAGTCTGAGCCTCCTTCAGAGGGCAATTTAGAAAGGGTCTAACTTAAAACCTTTGTATCATCACTGATGAGTCTCTTCTTTCTCTTTAGCTGGAAAGGAAGCTTGGGCTGCATAATAGCTTTAACAAATTATTCCTGTTTCAGTAAATCAGCAGAACAGCTTTGCAGGACAACTTGTTTTCTCCCCTTCTTACAAAAGTAGTTTAAGAATTATTAGCAACAATATTTAGGTTTAAAATTAGTTTAAAAATTAAAAAAAAAGGATTATTTGCAAAAATATTTAGTTTAAAATTACATTCACTCCGAGTTTAAGGGATTAGTTTAAGAGTTTTTAAAGAGAAATAACTGCAAAATTTGCTCTACAAGAATGAACCTATCCAAGCATTTCCAAGGGTTTCAGTTCAAGGGGGAAAGGTGCACTTTACAGGGAACACTGTTAGAATGTGTTTTTCTACTACCTTTTCTTAATTCTGCCCTTACTCACACCAATCATTTAATTTTAGGAAAGTCTGAATACATCCACTAGGTATTTATTAACTCTTGTTTATAGATCTAGTAAACACAGTCTTAGTCAGACCCATCAGAGTCAGGTCAAGTAGCATTTTTGATTATAGATTCTCCATGGTTAGTTTATAAATCTTCAGCAAATTAGCTGGTTGCCTTGACGTTTTCTATGCCTAACCTGCGTCAAGTCAAATTTTGGGCAGAATTTTTAAGCAAAAACGGCTCTGCTGCTTCTAGAAAGGAGACTAAGCCAGAACACAGGGTTGTAGTTGCCTGTGATAAAATAAAACTCAGTCATTGTGTCGGTCTAGTCTTTCTCATCCAAAGGCTTTATAACTGGCACAGGAAACACTTTTGCTCAAGAACAGAATTTCTGCTGTTGCTGTGAAAAACTTTTATCTTCTTCCTTTCACGCCAAATTGTTTGTTTAAAAGTATTTATTAGTGTGGGAGAAATTAAAGTTGTGTGAGATTAAAATTATTAAATGCTACATATTATTGCATATTCCCACAGGGAAGTAGAAAAGTCATACCTTCCAGTATTACATCACTGTGAGCGTGTTATTTTAAAATAAAAGAGTTTGTGCTTATCTCTTTGGAGGGTTTTTAGCTTTGCAATGTTGTCTGCTCAAGATCAGGAAACCAGAGTACCTTTCTTTGCTCCAGGTGGGGCCTCATACATGAAGTTAAGACCATTCTTCACACGCTCATCACCCATAAGCAATCTAAATGAGAAAGACAGAGTTTGGGGTAATACGCATAAACGTTCACATTGATATTGCTTGTTTAAACATTTAGACAAGAAACGTGCACAAGGAAATTGTCACCATAACTGGGAATTTCTCATTGGTTAACTTCAGTATCGGAAGTTGAGTATCGAAGAGCTGAGAGCCCAGTCAATACTTCTGCATGCGCCGCTGCGTGCTAAAATCACACACTGCAATCACAACTGAAACATAACTCTGTGCCCACAGCTTATGGAAGACAAATCTGCATGATCAAAATATGCTGCTATACCAGTTCACCTGCTGCTCTGTTAGATGTAACATTTAGTGACATGAATTAGATGACTCACGCAAACTACCCGAAAAACTGATGATAAGGTCCTAAGAAGTTCTTATGACTTTGGCTTAAGTAGATACCAATTTGTGAGCCACTGTCCTCTTCTGTTACTAAGATCAGTGCGAGACAGGGCTTCAGATAACCCACAGCTACACGTCCTTCGTTGCCACGAAAAGAAGAGAGGGCAGGAGGACGTGCGCGATGTTGCGCCAATTCTCACCTATTATCATAGGATTCCTGTTCTTTAAGGTACTGTTGCATTAATTCTTCTTGTTTCTTCTTATCATACGATATTTTCTGTTCCGCCATCCATACCTAGTTAAAACAAGTAAGTTTCTACTTTAAACAAACAAAAAACCTAGAACCTTCCTGTACGTGAAATATTGGGAAAGGATGGGCACACCACGCCCCACGGGTGTCTTCCTGAAAAGCGTGTGGCGTCTGTCCAGAGAACCAGACGTTCAGAAGCTGGAGCCAGAAAACAAAGAAAGTCATGTGAATGCGTGAGAAAGCTATTCCTTATTTAACGCTAGTTTCTCCAAGTCAAAATTAACGTTGTGAGAAGACACTACTAAGGACGCCTTTCTCGTTACAGACTAGTTTACGCCAAGGGAACTATTCATCACGGAATAAGAATACTCGCGCTCTATTTCTCTGCAGTAACTGCTGAATTTCAAAGACATATCCAATCTCAACTGCAGTAGCTCTTACACGCCGGTA